AGGCCCCAACGGGCCCAACTGGCTGGGAAGTCGCACCGGGCTTGGTGGAGTACTCGGCTGTCTACTGGGCGCAGGGCCAGGGGCGCCCAAGACCCCCAAAGGCGGACGGGAAGAGAGGTCTGGGCCAAGTGGCCCAAGTGTGGGACCGAGGACCGGTTGTTGGCTCGGCTGCGGCCTGAAATCCGGCTGCGGTGGCCACGGTGGCAAGGAAGCTTCGGCCAACCCGGAATTCCGGGTTGGCTGCGGTGGAGGAGCCACAGGTGGAGGGGGTATTGGGTTGCTGTGTGCCTGGCTGTTGATATGCAGGTGGACCGCAAGCGGTGGTGGAGGGGGCGAAGGTGGTGGAGGTGGTATGGTCAATGACGGCGTGGCAGACGATGCGCTGAATAATCCAATGTCGAGTGAAGTCGCAACAGACAAGGAGACGGCCTCTGCGATGTCTTCAACCGTCGACTCCGTCGCGGCCTTTTTCATGGGATCCGAGCTTTGAGCTGGACCACTGTTGACCTTCACCAGTCGAAAGGCTCTCTCAAAAGGCTCGATCACCCCTTCACTCAACCCCGGTCAAGGCTGCAGCGATGTCCTTTTGGGCACAAGAACCGCTTTCCCTCCTCGCCTGCACGTGGACCTCCTCACGCGCGCGCGAAGCACACACCGGCGAACGCCGCGCACCCTGAGCAGGTCTCTGCAGGTCTTTGCTTGCAATGAAGAAAACGAGCTGAGGCTCAAAAGAATGGCTCTGCGGTTCCCTGGCCTCTGCTCTCCTTGGCAGCTCCGCACCATCGTTGACGTCGGTGTTGCTGGCTCGCTCACCGAGGGCCTCAAAGTACGAAACGCAAGGGTTTCGAAGCCGCGACAACGCGGCAAGTGCCGAAGCGAAGGGCAACGGCAGCAAAATCCCGGGCGAAGCTCCACCAATTTCAGGGCCAAGAGGCGTTGAAAGGCTTGACCAAGCGATCTTGCAAGGATGTGCGATGTCTCAGGAGCATGCGGGGCTCGGAAGGCCGAAAAGGCGCCGAAGTCGAGCTCAGCGGTGTGGGGGCCGTGGGGGCTTCTGGAGCCCTGGCCTTTGGGCCCACGCAGGGGCCCACGCCTCTTCGCTCGAGCGTCTCTCTCTCCGTCAAGCGGCTCCTCTGCTTCACTGCGTTGGGCCGCGATGAAGCATCGCTCAGTCCACCCAGGTTGTTAGCACGAGATGCTTCCGGCACCGAACGCCTCTCTGGAGACGCCTCGGCAGGCACTTGTATTATGAGGCACACAGTCTACCATGCGCAGGCCTGTGGATCTTTGGGGGCAGCATGCTGCTTTTCAATATATCCTTCAACGATCATCTGCAAGCATTCCAAGAGAAACTGCAACTGCTGCCTGGTTATGCTCGGAAGCAAACATCGCCTGACCGTGCGCCTCAATTGGCCCCCTCAACCCTTAAACCCCCTTAAATTTGTCCTTAACCTGGTGCATCGAAGCAAACGGCCGCACAGCAGAGCCCGGCCTCAAAAGCCTCGGGTCTTCTGGTCAACGCTGGCGCTTCCCGCTGCGTAGCCTTGAGATTCTCTCATTCCGCTTTGGCAAATAGGCAAGCGAAACAGGGCTTCGGCTATACCTGGCCTATGGCCAGTAATTATAGTATAGACTTATAGAGTACTCTTCCCTACCTTCTTGTCTATGATGCCTTGCATATGACGGTGTCAGGACAAACTTGATGTCCTGGTGGTCCACTTCTGGCACGCTATATAGTTCTGGTTTTGAATCCAAGAGACTGGAGCCCTGGCTGGCACACCTGACGGCAATGAAATACGGCAAGCACAAAGCGAGCTTATGGGCTTCGACTCACACAGTCGCACAAAGGAGCTCAAGGGTCTGGGGGTTTAAATAGGGCTTAGGATCTCTTGGGTTCAGAATGGAATTCTGTCCGAACTGGCCTGGGTGCTACGTGCGTCGTGCCGTTCCAAAGGGTGCAGCCACCCCATTTGTGCAGACTTCACAGCTTGCATGTTAACCCCGGGTCCCCTGTTTCGCTTCCGTGGCATCTGTCATCGGTCCCAAGGCAGCCATAGCACTAACCCCCCCAAAAGATTGCCGCTGCTTGCTACACGTCGGTACTGCGCATGCGTCATCCTGCCATCCAAATGCTGGAGGTGTAACCTACTTGTAACAGGTTCATAGCTTTTCTCGGGTCGCCGCAGCGACTAATGAGAACACTCAGCTAGTTGCTTTCGTTCAGCGCGCGATGGTGGAATGGCATCGAAGCTGCAAAAGATATTCGAGGATAACGTGAGCATGAGAGCAGAAGCCCCACCAAGTTCATGTTGACTTGGAAGCAGGAGATGCGCATACTCGTGTGAAATTCAACTCCCGGAATGTATCTGGAACCATGAAGCCAGTTGCAGAAGCCGAGTTGTCGAAGCGGGCAAAATCCCAATCTTGTTTGCTGGAAGTAAATGGGATGACAAGTTCGCCTTCTATTACTTCTGGATATTATCGGTCGATGACTTGTGGGGCTACTGTCGGACGGGGAGTCTTGCTCCGGAGTCTTGCAGGTCTCTTTACGAAGTGAACATTAGGAAACAGACTGCGACCTGCTTTCAAAGGCTTCGGGGCCTGTAGAGCAATCCTTCTGCCTCTTCCCATCCATTGGCGCATCCGTCTCTGCAGAGTCCACAAAGGAGGAGAACAGCGCTTGGATCGGATCTTTTGGGATGGGCGGCGAAGACCTTCTCTGAGGCTCTGATGGCTCTTGGCCCTCGGTCTCACTTTCCATCTCCTCAGGTTTCGAAACGCCCCAACGAGCTGCAAACGTGCAGCAGCATTTACTGCGCAACTCTGCCCAGCTTAGCCGAAGCCCAAACCTATACTCTCACACGAGCCGTGTCACCTGCTCCGGGCTAAACGAAGCCGACCATGCTTGGCCAAGGCATTTCCTGAGGTCGCAACACAAAGCGGAGAGCTGCCCTGGGAAAGCTCTACTGTGTAACCAAACCCTCTGCATGTATTTGCATGACCGCGCCCAGTGTCGCATAAACTCGCGTCAGCAGTCTTCTGGCTGCTGTCCGGCTGTGTTGGTCCTTCATCAAGTGATTGGTAAGTCTCGCCTAGATCGAAAGAACTCTCTAAAGTTCTGCCCATGCTGTGATGCTTCAGTTCTGTGCCGGCGCGGCACTAACACGTTGCAAAGTCTTGACTGAAATCTGCACTGCCGGAACAGTTTCCCTGTGCATGTCATGCCTCCAAAAGTAATTCTTCGTCTGGATCTTCATGTGCAAAAGGACAGCTGTCCTCAGCTTCGCGCTGACTGCAAGCTTGCACTTTGCACAGCAAATCTCTCCCACTTCTGGCAAGCATCTCCACGCAGGCACTCCCCTTCGCCTGCTTGGAAGTATCGGCAAGGCTGTGGAGTCGACTTGTAGAAGGCCTCCTGTGTTCAGCAACAATACTGAAAAGAGTGCTTTCATTCTCTTGTTTGTTCTACTATGAAACAACAACAATTCCTGTGTTAAGCAAAACTGTGTGTGTGTGTGTGTATGTACGCTTTGTGTCGTTGGATGCTCCTGCAGCGCTGCCTCGTCCCCCGTGATCTCGACCGAGAGGCCATCCGTATGAGTTGAATTCTTTTCAAGAAAGGAGGCTTTGGTACATCTTGATATGCAAGCCTCAGGAGGTAGCCGAACGAACTGAGCTGGCATGACCCCGACGAGTCTGACCTTTGCGATGTCGAGCCACTACGGGCACTTCATGCAAACGGGCTGCTCTCACCATCAGCTGAAAATCACCGGAAAGGCCCATGTAGGCCTGAGAATCGGCAGCGACACCACGCAGCTGAGAGCCGGCATACATCTCCTCCTGTGAGGGCCGAGACACTTTTAAAGCCCAAAGGCGCCGGTTGTTCAGCGATCGCCAAAAGCCATTGTGGAAGTAAATCTCCAGCGGAGGCAAGCTGGCCTTTTTTCTGCTCGTTTCTAAAAACCCGTCTGGATCTTCGACACGGAAGTTAATGGCAAAAGGAGCATGTCTCAGACCAGGGGGCCGTGGGGTCCACCCGCCGTCGGAACAGATCATTGACCAGTTCATAGATCGGTTGGCCTCGATGCTTGCCTTTCCGGAAGACTGGACGGATCTTGTCATGAGTGAACCTGAGCCATTTGCATGCAGAATTCCAAGTCGTCTTCTGCAAACTTCCTCCGGCCTAGCTCGAACCGAAGCCAAGTGGCCGCAAGGCTACCACCGGCATCAGCACCACATCGCCCGGGTATGGGATGTGTGACGTCTGGTACATCGGCCTTGCACATCGGCACATGAAGCCAGTGGTTCAATGTGAGCTCGCTCAATATTCATTCTACCGGTTACCTTCACTTGTACGTACAACGAAGCTGGCTGCCAATACAGGGCAACTGTTACTGCTTCCGCATCATCGAGCTGCTTGGTTTGGTCGGGGCCTTTCTACGTGGCTGCTTGCATTGCAGAAACCGTGCAAAGTTCCAAACTTCAGCTGAGTTGCCAGTAACCCCATGTCGGTGGAGCAGGGCAGGCTGTCATGATCCCGTCTCTTCCATGCCGCGGGGGCACACCAAACTCACATCTAATTCTGCGCCCGTTCTTGCTATCGGACGCTTTTCAAAGCGCGAAGTTGAGCTGGCAGTGTCTCTTACGCTTTCATGAGTCAGACGGATGTCGGGCCGGGGTTGCTTACAGCTTGCAGTCCCTGAAAAGCCTTAGGGTGTGTCAAACATATCTGTGTGCATGCGCTGCCTCGCTTTGACAAACCTTGAGCTTTGCATAGGCGGTGCGTTATCAGGATAGCCACTATCACACTGTGCCACCGCTTCATGATCGGCCCTTTGTCAAAAACTTGAAGCTGGAGTGTCGGCCGGCGGAATTTCGGTTTCTGCATGGCTCTGGGTAACCACTTAGACAGCACCAGCAACGAATGCGGAAAACCTACAATTGCTGCGGCTGCGGCAGAGTGGCTAGAACAAACTCTCTGGGGTGGTGCAGCTGCAGGCCTTTCATCACCAAGCCAGTCTTGCTCGTACGTCACCTGTGAAGTCACATAGGTGGCCGTCGGCGCATCCAACCAAGCCACAACTTTTGCGTTTAGGGTTTTCAAGGAGTACCTCCAGCTGCTTCACCCGGAACTTGGCCGGGTCCCCCCAGAGCCTGCAGCTGATGACTTAATGGATGCTCACGGACTGCACCGGAATAACTTCAGTGCCACTGTAATATGTGAATCCTTTGGAGTTTTACTATGATATAAAAAAGACTCCCGAGAACACGCAAGATGAAGCGAAGCGCCATATCTGTTCAGTGCCTTGCCATGGCCGGCACTGCGGAACGCTGCGACGGAGAAAGCATTCGCTGGACCTTGCCCGGTCTTCTGATTCTCTGAAGCCTCGACTAGAGGCTACTAGCACGACAACCGATCTCTTGCTCGGCCTCCTCAGTGATGTCATTCCGCAGGCTAGCATCATTAGCATCACCGAACCAGGCGACAACCTGAGTGGATGGCAACAACATATGTTAGGAGATGCAGAACCATGGCAAAGCATCAAAGAATTTTATACCAGTGTCGCCGCAATGCCGCTGTCTCGATACTCACAAGCAAATGCAACTGCAAATATCGGTCACCCCCTCTCGTGAAGAGCGTTTGTAACCTTAAGCGAGAGGCCTGTGACCCCACAACAATCTATGCCATGTGCCGAATCCCACGCGAGTCTGAATCAAACAAGGAGCCACCTGGACACTGCCGAGAGGGACAAATTTGCCTGTCTTCGGATCCTGCACGAACTTGGATAGGTCGTTTAGGTCATTCGTGGTGACTCAACCGGTGGCAAATGCGAAGTGCGCAAAACCTGCATTTCATGCTGGTAAACAGGTCTTGCTGTCCCACGAAGGCAGGAAAGGAGACCAAAAATGCAGGAAAAGGCATTGTACAGGAAGAAAAAGTAGTAGTAGATTTTCATCAGTCGTCGTGGTCGTGTGTCTTTGCCGCGGTCGTTGGTGAGCCGAGGTGTCCGTCGACGCCGTCGGTGGTGGCGGTGGTCTTTGTCGTTGTCGCGGTGGCCCGCCGTCGCTGTTGTTGGTGGCGGTAGTACTGGTAACTAGTATTGTAGCGATCAAATCAATACCAAAACTGACAATGGCAGCTACAAGTGCTTGACTTGCGAATGAGGAATGGCAGCAGTAATTTTGCATGACAGCAGTTGGGCAAAGCGCGCCATCTCCTGTCTAGAGTCTATACTGCATGTGCAACGACTCCAACGAATATACTGTGTGTTCTGGCAGGTTTTGCACCACCTACTCACTGGCACTTGCAATCGCTTGCCTCATCACACCCGTCATCTTCAGGAATGAACACGCTGCCATATCTTAGTAGCAGCAGAGCACTGTGGTTGCAGTGAGCAGCGTGACACCAAGATAAAACGCAGCGGCTAAATCGCTACTTTCATGAATCGAAGTTCCAGCATGCTGAGCCCTGGACTCCCAACAGCGGGTGGTTCGCCGCTCTACGCCTGGCACAATCACGCCAAATGTCGCCAAACTACGGTGTTGACTGCCAAGTTACACATGTCATCGGTATTGTCCAGGTCTACCCGAATTACTGGCTGCAGTGCTACACATGTTGTGCAATAACCGTGTCAGCGCACCCAAAGACTCTCCGGCATGAGCGCCTCCAGCCATCTAACTAACCTTTGCATCGAGACGAAGTCCACCTGCGTTTACGGGTTCGCATGTCTATGCTGTAGGGCGAGCTGCCAACAGAAAAGTTCGGTGGCTGTCTGACACCCAAACATCCATGGATTCGTGCAAAGCATGCCTGTTGTGTCTCGAACCAGGCGCGGAAAGACCGGAGTGTTTTGTCAATTGCATCAACATATTTGTCGCCCAACTCCAAACCCCGCAAGCAACACCAAAACAACTCAAAGAAAAGCACCACACTTGTCTTGCACAGTTCTCTAAAAGTCGGTCGGCTCGAGGTGAAGCTCCGCTGTCAGCTCGAGGTGCCCATCAGGGCGGGTTGAAACCGCAGGCGCTGCTAACCTGCAAAACATCGCATGTCGCAAGGGCCCTTAATTAGAAATTTGTGCACAAGTTTCCCTGGAGCCTTCACAAGACACGAAGGAAACAATACAACGACGCTAAGCCGCTAAGGGTCTTGACCAACAACAAACCATTACGATTGGCTTCTTCTGCTTGGTCTGCATCTTGCGAGGCTCAACTTTGGAAGACATTGCACCCTGCTACAAAATCTCCAGGCAATCCGATTGCAAAATGATGAACGGCAAATATTTAACGCATCACTTCTCGCTGTCGGATAATCAAATCAACTGAAAATAGCGTTATGATAGGGATCTACTCACTATCCGGACGAATCCATGCTCAGCTAGATCAAAAAGTTTGAGACCAAGCCGTCACTGCGGAGGGAGAGTGTGGCCGAGCAGTTTGTCCTGCAAACGCTTTTTGACATTAACTGACGAACTGACGACCTCTTCCCACCAAAACGCAAGTCACATCCAAAAGCATTGCTCCTGCGCTTGAATTTGTTCTTGTCGCGGACTCCTGCGAACCAACATCGGCGTAAACCCGCTTCTCTCCATGCTCGCGAGCTGCAACACGCCAACGCGCCTTGTCGGCACATTAGCTCTGATTGGCCGGGACCTGCGCTATCATTGAATTATTTGGCCGCCCTGCCCCCCCCCCCCCTCCCGAATGGTTCCCGTTTAGCACTGAATCTTGTTTGCGAATTATGAGTATGATTCAACTTAAGTTCTCCAAAGGGACTGCCAACTGTGCGCCGGGGAAAAGCGCTCGGGAGGCTTGACGACGTCTGGATCTGGTGGCTTGCTAGTCCCTCTACTAAGCTTGAGAGCAAAGCCCCCAGAGTTCACAGTACATCAGCAAACCTCTCCAGTGGCCACAGGTTGCAACTACAGCCGAGCTGCGCCGTGGATCTAGCCGAATGTTGTGGTGTTCCAACCTTTCCGGCCTGGACAGCAGAAAGCAACTAAATGAATTTCTTTCGGGAGCTGCCTGTTGCAGCTCTTTGCCTTCTTGTCCGCTGCGACCACATTCGCCGAAGCCGCAGCCAAGCCGCCCAGGCTATGGGTCCTTCGGCCCCACGTTGCGACGAGTACTAAGGCAATAGCATGTTATGGTTGGCTGTGTTCCGGATGCGGACTTTGCAACAGTAGCTCGCCCTTTCAGAAATGTTGGCAATGACCTCATGCCAGCATTGACAAAATCGAAAGCCTTCGAAACCAGAAGCCTGGCTCCCTCGCTATGGGAAAGCACTACAATGCAAGTATCACATGGGGGCTGTGTTGCTTTCGGAAGTCTTCCAAAAGTTTTCTGTGCCAGGAGCTTACCGCGGTCGTGGATTGTTGACTTCGGCATCCTGCAAGTTGACCTTGCAGGATGCCTCTTCAAGGCGCCCGCTATGCAAGTCATAAGATGTTACAAAAGATCCGCGGACTACTTTTTCTAAGCGGACACAGCCACCTTAACTCGTACCTCGAGTATACTATCACAGTCACTTCGGCACTGCGCGCTTTTAAGTTTCGCTCGACTTGTCGCCGCCTGAATCATGCATAGGGCACGGCTGCACATCGATCTACAAAGACCGAGTGCCAGCTCAGGGCAGCCCCGCCTTCGTCATTCACATATAGACATGCCTTAGCTTGCTTCCGCAAAAAAAGATGTACACGTTGCCGCTGAACTACGGACGACTGCGAAAAGCAATTGATGAGCAGGTGCGAAAGTATGCTTTCTCCAACCTTGGATTGGTGACCCGTCTGTCAAGACCAGCCATGCGAAATGGGAATTGATGCCGGGCGACTGCATCCAAGTGGCTTATCCTTGCGCTTCACGTTGCATTTGCAGCAGGGGTTGCAGCTGACACACACGCCACACCGGAAGTATCCCTGCGCATACCTGCGGGTGCTCGGTCCAAAATCCCTCTAGACTCTAGACATCAACCTGCATGAATGAATGCTGCAGCTGATTCGTGGCCTTGGTGGGCTGGCACAGTCCATGCGGTGAGCTGGCTGGTCACCGATGTCCATGGCATACTCGGGGTCCTCAGCACAGCTTCAGCACTCCATCTTGGATTCGGTCACGGTTGCTGTCGCCGAGGTTCTTCGTATTGAAGCAGACAGGGCGGCACCTTCTCTTGCGCACCTGTACACAGAACTGACAAGTAGTTCTCCCACCCACAAGACCAAGACAAAACTTGCCGGCCTCTTTCAAGCGGAGACATGTAGATCATATCCTGGGCACGCGGAGGATGTCAGTTCGAGGCGGCTGGCCAACACAGCCAAAGCCCTCGGCGAGACCGTCGCCACGGAGCTCTATAGCCGATAGAAGCTGAGAGAAGCTCCAGCACATGCTGTCCGGGATTTGCATTGAGGATGATGCGGCGAAGCCAATCCTGCAGCCCACCTTAGAGCACAGCAGACTGAGAGCCAAACGAAGCGCCTCAAGAATCAAACTTTCGAATGCAAGATGCTTCGAGTTTCAGACAGGGAGCGCATCGTGGGGCGTCTCGATGGATTGTGGTTGAGCCTGGCGATCTGACAGCTCTTCAAGGCTTGTGTCTATGCATCTGCACCGGAGGGGTGCATTGATAAAACTGGTAGTTTGTAGCGGTACGGTGTCCGGGCTCTTGTCGTGCCATCATGCTCGCCGGAACGAAACCAGGCTGCGGCGCCATGTCGCTTGCGGCTTATAATCGCAAGCAAGAGGCATATTTTCAATCAACCGGTCAATGGGCTGACCAGGTTTTGGAATTGCATCGTCTATCCTGAAGGGACAGCAGTAGACTCAGTAGACTCTCGAACACTCCAGCCGAAAGCAGGACCAACAACATCATAAGAAGCGTTAGTCAACCCAGTCAGGGGTATATAGGATCTCGTCTCCCTTCCGTTCCGATCGCCGTGGAAAGGCGGCTTGCGCCCATACATAATCCTGGGCTGCGAGGCTGCGCTTTTGGTCAAAATCGTGCACCCCTCCCCATCCTGTCTTCCGGCCAGCGGGCTCGTAGAAGACCACCCCAAGGGACCAAACATCATTGGCCGCCAGTCCAAGGCCTGTTCCAGTCCAAACCTCTGGCGCAATGAAGCCGATGGTTCCTCAGCGCCCCGACGGGCTTCGTTTTCCCACCATCGCGTCTGCGGTGGCCTTCTCCGGACACTACGCTTGACCGATCAGACGCACCGAGGTTCCGGACCATTTGCAGAGTTTCGGGCGGCAAGCAATACCCAGGTCGATGACTTCGGCGAAACCTGTTCTCGACAGTGCCGTGGGTCAAGCTTGTTGAAGCCAAGGTCTCCTAAATGCACCTTGCTCCGCAACATACTGGCTAAAAGACGGCCCTACATATGAGGGACCGCTCACAAAGATGCAGATGACAATTCCCCAGGATTGAAAGTCGTTGCCTTCTCACCGGTGTCGTCTTGAGCTAAAGGATGCACTTTCCAAATTCTTGCATCAAGACAAGACGCAGTTGGTACCCTGGCAATTCAGCATGATATTCTCTGGCTTCAAGTCCATGTGGTGGTACCCTTGTGAGTGAAGGGCTCCGACACCCAAAGCTGCTTGATAAAGCAATGCCTGCACCTGAGCTTGCAGGGCTGCACTGCAGCTGTCCGCGTAATAGCCGAGGTCTGCTCAATTCAATTTAATCCAAATTTCTGGGAAATTACTGCTTCGCAGACTGATCATTCTCGGACTTGAGACGTCGCCTTCGGCCTAGTGACATAGGGAATGCTGTAAGGAGCTCCGAGGCGTTCCCAACAGATGCGGCCGCCACACCGACACTTTGCAGGACAGTTCTCCAATTTCTCCAGCAGTTGCAAGAGGCTGCCCGAATTCAGGAACGGCATCATGATCCACAGACCTTCGCTGCGAACACACGTGTGAAGCTCACATGTGATTTCACCCCAAAGCAGCATGTGTCGAGCAAGTTGCCCGATTCGGTGTCGATGTAGTCCGGTGCACCCAATGTGGAGATGCAAAAGTCCGAAACCCCGTACATCGCCCGCATCACCCTGACTTCTCGGAAGTCCTTGCGAACACATATCGATGATTCCTTCCTCTGTGAGTGTATTATAGACTTTTGTGATTCACTGCTTTTTTCCTCAACCGAGCCTGCAGCCTCTTGTTGTGCAGTAGCTTCACCGTAACGGTCATATTCGAGGAACCGCATGAAGCCACATAGAGGTACGCAGTTCCTCGGCTGCTACAATGGCACACCGCTCCTCCTCCGTCCAATCACCAAGCTTCTTGCAGACCTGGCTTCCGTGCCCACCACTGCCCAAGGCCCTCAAGAAGGTCAGCCGCTTGGACCAGGCAGGTGGAAGTGGAGGCGCAGCAGATGCGTTGCCTGGGACCTCCAGTGCAACTATTCGAGACAGCAACTCTAGCTATACTCCTCCGACTGCCTCGCTCTTTGGAAAAACAAACCCCGTCCATTACGTGACAATATGTTGTGTGTAATGGAGTGGACCATCAACACAAGTAATACACCCGACGCCTCCAGCAATGCACTGGAAGACGTAGGCAGGTCGCCGCCGTCTCTTCGCCACCTCTCTATCGCCGCCTCATCCACCGTCAGTCTCCTCTACAACGGTCCGGCAAACCAGGAATCTCATAGTCTAGAGGGCCGTCCTCTTCCATGGCCACTCGCGCTTGGCGTCAATCATGCCTGACCACAGAGACCAGGATGCAGTGGACGGGTCTGTAGTCAAATCTGCATCCAGTCGGCAGCTCCTGATACTAGCCAAGCTGTGCCGTGCCACAACTGATGACTTGCTTCGGGGCCTTCGAAGTTCGAGTCAGCATCAAGTCGAAAAGATTTCGATGCCCCAAAGGCAGCAGCGAGCAACAGCGCTGTGAGGGCCATGCCTGACACAGGCACAGGCTTTAAGGGAAGACAAACTCTCAGGCCCCGCGTTCTTGACCCCTCTTGCCTGCGTTTCAACGCCATGAAGGCAACATCCAGGGAAGCCGAGACCTGGAGCTTCACCTGTGCATGGCGTGCATAAAATGCGTCATGTGTATATACACACACATAGGGAGAGAGAGAGAGAGAGAGAGAGAGAGAGAACGAGTAAACAAATGTATATGTATATGTATTTATATTAGTATACATATGCACAGCACACATGTTTAGCAATCGCGAGTGCATATATACACATGCATACATGTTTGTTCAAAAAATACATACATACACGTATAACGACTGTATTATCAGTGTATTCAATGAGAAGCAGCAAAGCCCAACAGGAGGTTGTGATCAATGCTGTAAGCACCGGCTTTTGCGCCTGTACATGTAAAACAGGGCAGACCACGGGCAAGCTTGATCCAAAATGCAACAGGCCAAGAAAGGAAAGACCCTAAGAGAATGGAAGACACCTCACTTGCTGATGACTGAGTTTGACTGCTTGAGGCCCAAGTCCTGCGGTTGCTTGGCGAATCTGACCTGGGAGCTGACACTCTGAAAGACCGTTCGGCAGCAGCACTGGCATGCCAAGACATCCTTGAGCATTGCACGTAAAGGACGCGTTCGACTTCAGGGTGTCTTCAAAGTCGGTCTCGACGTTCAAGCCTGGACCTCATCGTTCCGGGCTGCGCCGTGCCACAGTGCATCTTGGCAGTCGCTCTGCCCGAGAAAGCTGCCGGGCATCATCGGGCCAGGACCACGGGGCCTGGACAGCTGCCGCCACCGGGCAGGGCACGCATGGAATGACAAACTGCTGCTACATGCCATTGAGATGGGGCCAGATTTCCGCCCGCATGCTCATGTAGAGAGCTGGCCTACTCAGCACGTGTAGCAAATGCTGTCCAGCCACGGTCTCGACATCATTCGGTCTGTGTTTGGTGCAGAGCCGGAGCCCGCCGGTGACTCGGCTCTCGCCTGCAGCGCTTCGAGTCTTTGCATCTCGGAGCCCAAGTCACGACAGTCAGAGCCCCCCTGAAGCCTGGGTGTCATCCACGTTTGCCATGCTGGCCAGCGGCCTCGGCTCGGATCTTGTCATGACATGCTTGCGGAAGTCTAGGGCACAGGCGCTCTTACGGACAACTGCAACGCAAGTGTGAACGTTATGCAGCCACCTGCGTCTGTCCTTCTGCCAGAGATGCTCGAGGCGGCCATAAAACACATGCTCGCGACGCCAATTGCATCCACAAGCCAGCTCTAACTCTACTGGTGCATCTTTAAAGTTTATTTCAGGAACCTTTGCCGGAGCTTCCCTGTGATGAGTAGGAGAAGCAAGCCCAGGATCAGCACGCCTACTCGCTTCATCAGCTTGGAGTGCGCGGGCTTCATCGTAACCCAGAACCACAAGATCTTGCTCAGAGCGGAGTCAGCCGGAAGGCTGATAGGGGAAGGTGGGAAGAGGGGCCGGTACATCACGGCGCGCTGGTGCGAAAGCTCGTTGAAGCCAAACTCACCATAGCAACTACCCATGCCAGAGCCGCCAATCCCGCCGAACGGCACGTTTGGATTCCCCTTGTGCACGGCCGTGTCACCTACCAAAATGGCCCCAGAGCTGGTGCTCTGCATGACATGATCCACCACTGGCTGCGGGGCAAAGACGTAAAGTGCTAGGGGCTTGGGCCGACTATTGATGAAACTGACGGCCTCGTCGCAGGATGCCACGCTGAGGATTGGCAGCACGGGTCCGAAGAGCTCGTCCTGCATGATCGTGCTGTCAGCCTTCGGGTCCACCACGATCGTCGGCTGGACATATCTCTGGCCCTCCTTGATGGTCCCCGGAGGGGGCGAGGCCCCCCCAAGCTCCACGTGACCACCGTGAGGCTCGCGAAGGGCTTTGTGCAATCTTTCCATTGCTTGCTGGTTCACCATGCGGCTAAGCTTCTCCGGTGCCTGCGTGCTGTCACCGAACATTTCCGTGATGACCTTCTTGAGACATGCAACAACCTCATCACGAACTCCGCGTTCCACCAACATGTAATCCTCGGTGCTGGGCAGAAGCAGTTGAACTGGCCGTTTAGGGGATGTTCGTTCGAGAACTTAGAAAAAGTCTGCTTTTCGTGCTTGAGGCCTGGGGTGGGTTAAGGTGCTTCGTTTCGGGATTTCACACTTCAGCCAGGTGACCGGCGCGATGCAGGTCTGCCCACAGTTCACGAACTTCCCCACTGCGATCCTTCGGCATGCCTCGTTGATGTCGATGCCTCCACAGATCACGACAGGGGACTTTCCACCCAGCTCCAGCGTCAGCGGAGTAAGATTCGGGGCGGCGGCTGCCATTATCAGCCGGCCCACGCGCGTAGACCCTGTATATATGATGTGATCGAAGGGCTGGGCAACCAAGGTTGTGGAAAGTTCCACACCACCCAAGCAACAACGCACCGCTCGCTGATCAAGACGTGTGCAAATGCGGTGCATAACTTGTGCCGACTCTGGCGACAACTCTGAAGGCTTGACGAGCACACAATTCCCAGCTGCAAGGGCAGTGATCATAGGCCCAAGTGTTACCACAAAGGGGTAATTCCAAGCGCCGATGATGAGCACCACGCCCTTTGGCTGTGCTTGCACATACGACGAGGCAGGTTGCAACACAACAGGTGTGCTGACCTTCTTCATGGCACTCCAGCTTGCGATGTTGTCGAGAAAGTGATCTATCTCTCCGAACAAGCAGCCGATCTGGAAAAGAAGTGCCTGTGCCTCATCCACACAAAGGTCGGAGCCTAGTGCTTGGAGCATGGCTTCCTTCTCCTCTTCCAGTACTTGACGCAGGAGCCTGAGTTGACCCATTCGCCATTCCACTGAGGTGTGGCCCCGAACCACAAAGTCCCGGAGCTCAGGGAGATACTTCACCGCCTCAGGGGCTGCAACGTCTGTTGTCTCGCTTGCCATTGCTTCCCAGAACTCCAGACTTTCGGAGGAGCTTCTGGGACCTACCTGAACCTTTCCTTGAGCCGAAGCTTGGAACGTCAAAGCAGTTTCAGCTTGTAGACCAGTACTGTACTCCCACCGTTTTCAAAACTGGGATGACGGCGACGGGGCTGCGCTGCCCGTCGGGGTTTGCTGCTGCGACTGCCAAAGCATCGCGAGGGAATGGTCTGCACGTTGCCAACCGGCTGGGCTTGCCTCCCAAGAAAGCCAAAAGCAAGAACACTGTAATTAGGAGTGTGGAGTGGAGCGAGGGCCGCACCGAGGCCGACCCGATGGTCGCTTCGGGGTCTGTGTCCACCGAGAGGATTTGAGGCCCCGGCCTCACGGAATCTTTCTCACGGAATCGCCTTTTCATCTCGAACCCTCCCCCTCCTCACCGCCGGCTTGCCCTTGGGAGGTGGAGGAGGCGGTCGCCGCTCACCGTCCTGTCTGTGGAATGTCTTAAAAAATCGTATGCTGCATATGGCGTACGCCCACTCCCAGCGCCCCAGCGCTGCGGCTATGCAGTGAGCGGGAGAGTGCGTCCTTCGTGGAAGATTTGGATCCGCTGCGGCTTGCCTTTCGCTTGCAGCCAATCCCTACGCTTGAAGTAAACAAAAGCCTCCTTGCTTGCCTGCGCCTCTGCTCCGGCTTTCGGAGGGGGCGGTGGCGGTGCCTTTCCGGTTCTGGGCGACACACCTGCCAAAGAACAACACATGAAGCCCGAACATGTGCCCCGAGCTGCGAAACCCCCGAAGATTATGTGACAAAGGGATTTGAACGAGCCCAGTCCTTGTGCTTTCAGAGCTGCCAAGCGCTCCTCTTCTGCTGCTTTCTCAGCAGCTTCTGCTGCAGCAGCTTCTGCTGCAGCAGCCTCTTGTGCCAAGCGCTCCGCTTCAGCTTTTTCAGCAGCCGCTCTGGCTGCAGCCAAGCGCTCCTCTTCTGCTGCTTTCGCAGCAGCTTCTCTTGCAGCAGCCTCTTGTGCTAACCGCTCCTCTTCAGCTTTTTGAGCTGCAGCCGCCCTCGCTGCTGCCAAACGCTCCTCTTCTGCGGCTCTCTCTGCAGCTTCTCTTGCAGCAGCTTCTCTTGCCGCCGCCTCCTCTTCGGCTTTTTGAGCTGCAGCCGCCCTTGCTGCTGCCACACGCTCCTCTTCTGCTGCTCTCTCGGCAGCTTCTCTTGCAGCAGCTTCTCTTTCAGCAGCCTCCTCCTCAGCTTTCTGGGCGGAAGCCGCCCTTGCTGCTGCCAAACGTTCCTCCTCTGCTGCTTTCTCTGCAGCTTCTCTCGCCGCAGCTTCTCTGGCAGCAGCTTCTCTTGCAGCAGCCTCTTGTGCCAAGCGCTCCTCTTCAGCTTTTTGAGCTGCTGCCACTTTGGCGGCTGCTAAACGTTCCTCCTCTGCTGCTTTCTCAGCAGCTTCTCTGGCAGCAGCCTCTTGTGCCAAGCGCTGTTCTTCAGCTCGCTTCTCCTGGATAGTCTAGACAAGCATGGCGAGCGGTACCGTGGAAAACGAATCCTGCCAGTGGGCCTCTGCTTCGGAGGATGTAGCTTGTGCGCTGCTTTCTTCAGGTGCCGATTCCGGGCCTGGGGTCGCAGGAAATGGCTCGCTCCAGAGGACTGGCATTGCCCGTGCTCAATGCCTTCAGCTCTCGGCGGTGCCTGCCGCAAGCGAACACAATGAGAGCTTCCGAACATGGGAAGCTCTAGTGCGATCCGGGTTCATTTTGAAGATCCATGTCAACGGGCAATTACGGACAAAAACAACGCGCGTTTGTCAGGAGTCTGCTAGTGGCCTCAGTTTCGAGAAGGACACGGAAGCGGGAGCAGGCATCTGGGAAGGTGAACGAGGAATGTCTTGCCGGCCAGGCCAGCCATGGTTTTTGCAGTGGTCCTTGCTGCTTCGGTACTTGGCAACCTTCTCCATACAACCATGGCAAACGTGACGATCAATGTAATTAAAACATGGAGTACATTCCATTTGCAGGGGTACACCTTGCAAGAAGGGCGGCGAACACAGCGTCTGTATTTCACGCAGTAAGAGCTGAAACCCATGCCTCCTGCAAGTACGTTGGTGTTTTGTGGTTGCGCTTGTGCTTAACCGACAGTGCTTCTAATTCTCCGGGTTCAAGAGTGACCTGTGACCTAAAGGTCACGTCAAGGACCCACTCTTCTTCTGGAGCGCAACAGAAAGAAAGCAATGTCAGTTCTATCTTGCTTTCAGAGTGAGGCCCCAGGATCACATAGGTCTTCTTAAAGTCCGAGAAACATTCAAGTGACGACATTTGAGTCTTGACTATAGACCCATGCCGCACCTCCGGTGGAACCTCTTTGCTGGCGGCAGCCTTTGAAAGCGTTCTGTGGTCTAGAGACATGCCATTGCCAGCATACACTTCTGGGCTCCCTGAGGCTCAAACGGATGCATCGCCAGTCCTAAGCTGCAGCTTCTCAAAGCAGCGATTTCAATGATCATTGTTGTCCCAAAGTTCTCAAGTTCGCAGTTGTCTTATCGTCCCGAGGGACCAGAATTTCTGAGGACCGGCTGAGGGCCGCACTCTCCGCCGCCGCCGAAGAAGCCTTCGAGCAATGGGCCAATGTCTCGCCGCTACCCGTGACACATTGAATTCCACTACGCCCCTAAGTTCCGGGCCGCTGAAGCTGGCACCGAAGAGTTTCCGGTCGGGCTCTGTGCCTTCATAGGGCTGTGGACCAAACAGGGCATGTTTGAGTCCAAAAAGCATATTCCAGTCGGGCTGAGTGTGCTGGGCCACACACCTTCCTTGTTGGAGAGCAGCTTGGTGACCCTGCGATTTTTTGCCGAATCGAAGGGCACAGCAGAACTTCAGTTCTCCCGATTGAGCTCATTCCTACAGCAGGTCAAAGACTGCTGCGCAGCAACCAAAACAGCAGGGGCCTGTCGTTGAAAAACGTCCGGAAGCTGCGTGGGGTCTGTGAATCTTTGTTCCCCTCCTTGTTCCGGACAGCAGCCGGGCAGAATGTGGGATGCTGTCCACTGCGAAAGTGCAAACACGAACTGTCAGACACTCAGCCTTGGTCAGCGCTTTGGGCTTATGCCAACCAACTATGCAAAGTAGGTCTTGAAGAGCAACCAATACATGTTCGAGCAACCACAATTAGCACCGTGTAGTCCTCTTCTTCGCGCTCCTCTTTGACAGGAGACAGCGGCTTGCCCTGCGCTGCCGTCCAACACAAAAAGGCTCGACGAAACGAGCAGAAGTGCCGGCATCTGGGCTGAACTCGCCTCTGCATCCGATGGCTTCGCCGTGTCGCCTCGTGACCGAAAGCAGGGATATTCAAAGTGCACGAGGGTGCTACAATGCAACAAATGCAGAATGCAGGACTCCAGAAGAGAACAGCCCCGCTTCGACGGAAGCACCAGCCCTCCATACGCATCGAGCCCTTTGACGCATGTCTCATGTGCCAAGGGCCTGTGCCAGGTCGGCTGCCTGCAGCACACGTCAGCACCAACAACCTCCACCATAAACTCCTAAAACCTCCTCTGGAGGAGTTTTGATCCAGGCCTGAACCTGCGGTGGACTCCGAGAGGCAGCTCAGAACCTAAGAAACCCGCTACGTTGAACGCAGACTCACAAAAAGGTTGAGATCACGTTCCCTGCGTGTTGCCAGGCGGCTGAGTCTGCCGTGGATGGACGGTGCTCCTTGACATCTTCGAGGCTCTTGGAGACGGTGACCGTGACCTCCTCTCCTGGCAAGGAGACAAGTACATGCTCGGAGCTTCGCAGGAGAAAGATCACCGTCGCCCGACATGTTGGGAAACAACTAGGATGGGCCAGATCTGGCAGGACTGTGCCTGCAGCTGCCTCCTCGGTGTTGCCGTCTTCCAGAGCCTTTGCATCCGCAGGTGCGAATCACTCACGAACTTTGCCTGTGATGGGATGCAGCTTGCTGGCAAATATGCAAAGAAGTTTGAGGTCCTAGCCAAGGTGGCTTCCTCACCTGCACGTGGTGTAGCAACGCCACGCGGAGTGGCGGTAGGCGTTGGCATACGTGGCAAGGAGGTGTCCTCAAGCCACAAGTCTGCACTGCTTTTAGACTTCCAGCAAGTCTTCCTATGCCAGTATTCTGCCTGAGCTGAATGTCTTCCTGGAGCCATTGCATACGAGAAGCCGTAAACAGCGGGAGTTGCCTGGACGGCCGCCTCGCTGCCGGAAGCGATGAGCAAGCGACGGGTTCAATCGGAATGGCAAGACAGGCCTGTTCGTCTCCGAAACAAGGTCGCCGAAGCTCTTGCCTCAGTTTTGGTTTACATGGATCATCGCCTCAAGGCCACACCGCACAGTCCAGCTATCCATGGAGCAGTGCATGGCAATGATTGCCGATGGGGTCTCAAGGAAAGCTTTGCAGGCAGGCGGCCGGTCTCGTTTCCTCGAGGTGAACGACCACCTCGTCTTATATGTAGGAAGGTGTGATGCAAAGGCCTTTGACGTCTGAAGGCTGTGCTGCAAGACTTTTGAAGCCACTGAGGCTGCTACGGTTCTGCGGAGTTGGTGGTGCCATCATGCCAGGGTGTCGCGAGGGCGGTAGAGCCAATGGCAGGGCCCTGCAACTTCATTTCAAACGGGCCCTATGGCCCTATGGCTTTACATAGGACGCACCACCAACTTCGTGCCACAAGGCTGAAGCGCGGACATCGGTCTAGGCTGCATCCAGGCGGAATCCTGAGTGATCAAAGAGAGGCAAAAAAAAACCATAACGCCTCAACTGCTTGCCGCTTGCCGTCCTGAAGAGCTGGCGTGCCTGCTGGAGCCTCGCTGTCGGGTGCGTGAAAACTTGTCTAGCCACGACTGGAACTGGAACTTGGCTGCAAACAGCTCGATCCGAAAACTATCCGAGTGTTCCGAGTTGTCGCCATCATCGTTGATGTCATCATGGGGAGATGCTTCTGTCATTCTGCATCCCGCTGCAAAGCTCCAGGAATGGCACCACCACGGCAGGGATCGCGGCGATTG